CTATGGCTGGATTGGGACAAAGTTTACAGACCACAGATCCAAGCTGAGGGCCTCCAGGTTGGGATGAGGAAGCAGTTCGTCTGCATGTGCAACTGCCCCCGTGGGATTCATGGTCTGCTCCTGCACCAGCATTTCCTAAATCAAGGGCCTCCTGGTGTTACAATGTGGGAGTAAGCTTACTGATCGCACTTTTTATTTTGTTGATATGTGGGACTTTATTTCATTTATTTTTATTGGTGCATTACAATTATGCATAGCAATGGGATTCTTCATGCCTTCTTCATTCATTCACATAACATAATTAGACCAACTTCCTTTCCCACCACCTTCTCCTTCCTTTCCCTCTTCTCTCCCCTGATCTGCTTGCTCTGCTCTACTGATCCCCATTCCATGTTTATTATTTTAAGTAGTGCATTATAGTTACATACAAGCAGGACTCCTGGTAACTGACAGATTCCATTCCTGCCCTCCTCCCTTCTTACCTTCTTCAACTCAGTTGGTCTCCTTTCTGTTTTCCTGGGATCCCCATTGTTCTATTTTTTTTTCTTTTTTATCTCTCCAGCTTCCAGGTAGGAGAGAAACCTTCACCCCTTGACTTTCTGGGTCTGGCTTATTTAATTCAGCTTGACATTTCAATGCTATCTCGTTTGTCACTTCAAAAGATTACAAAATACTTGAGGCAAGAGGCAAGACATATATTATTTCTATTCTTTGTAACATGCAGGTATTTGGTTCCATATGTATTTTTTAGTGACCAACTAGTTCACCTGTGTTTTACCTTTGCTTTCTGTGACCAATTCTTTAATCTGTTTGCCATAAGCTTTTCTTTTATTTTTCTTTACCCTTTTTTCCTAAGGAATTTTTGTCTTTCCACGACTTCTCCCCTCTGATGTCCCTGGGCTTCTCCTAAAGCTGTTCTTTCTCTGCTTTCTCCCTTTTCCTTCATACACTGCCTGGAAGACAACTTTCAAAGATAACATGCAGTAGTCACACTTGGACATTTGAAGTTACCAAGATCAAGTGTGAGCAAGCCCTTCTGAGCAGACATGGGTAATAACCTTAAGAACAAGGGAATGTCTTTATAAATGCTGCATTTAACAGTTAAGTAATTGAAAATGTAATCTTAATGAAATGGAGTTTGCATCATAGCTCATTTCCTTATATCTTATTTAAAATAATGTTTTTAAACTTGAAAGAAAATTTATAGTCATTGAAGGTAATGATATTGTCATTGATATTCCAATAATTCTAATTAGTGATCTTTTGAAATTTTCATGTATTGACACTAGAGGAAATGGATAGAAAACAATGTAAAGTGCCGAACAACATTAGCAGTGAGTTAATTATGGGTTAATTATAGGTGGGATGCCTAAGCCTTCATCAGATTAAACACTTTGGCACACTGGGGACTTGGAACTTTCCCAGGGTGTGGGACGGTCAATACAACAGACAACACTGTTCCAAGAGACTGTTTCTCTTGCCTTTCAGTAGGACATGCT